GGAAATAACGCAAATCAACCGGAAAGAGAAACACCAGGTTGACCAAAAAGAGAACACATCAGATTGGTTACTCACAACATCCACGCCCCACTGCCAGGAGAGTCCCTTCAATTGACACAGCTGGGCGGGAATCCGATCATCAGAGGTCCTGGGCCGGGCGTCCCCTCCACAGGTGAGACTCTTACCAGGCCTCGGTTTCCAGCAGTTTATATAACATCAGCAGTTACAGAGTTTACAGAGCAAGCATTCAGTGTTCCCATGCACAAATGGTTATCAGTGGCGTACGTGCACTGAGCCTCCTGGCTATCGTCCCAGCCCAGCAGTTGTGTACGTGCATTGTTTTCTCTGGTTATCATCCCAGCCTGGCACAGATGGCCAGTCTGCCCCACCAGGCTGTGATGCCCAAAGGACCTTGAAATTCTTACAAATGGCAACTATCTCCGTGGGAGAAAGGCCAGTTCCCACCACACAGAAAGCAGCTTTATATTTCTTTGTGTGCTGGTGGCTGTAGGTCAATGGAGCGACCAAACATGGCTGCACTCATGTCAAGACAGTGGGGAGAGGGCCTGCCCATCCCCTGTGTGGAGTGCAAAGCCCTGATCAGGTACCGACACTAGCAGGGGAGGTCCAAGGATCATCACCCCACCTCACTCAGCCAAGGGCTGCAAGGTCCACTTCCACAAGTCGTCCGTTTATTCTCTATAAAATGATCAGCTCATGGGGCCGGCCCCGTGGTGTAGCAGTTAAGTGCTCGCGCTCCACTGCTGGCAGCCCAAGTTCGGATCCCGGGCGCGCACTGACGCACCACTTGTCAGGCCATGCTGTGGCAGTGTCCCACATAAGGTGGAGGAAGATGCGCATGGGTGTTAGCTCAGGACCAGTCTTCCTCAGCAAAAAGGGGAGGGTTGGCGTGGATATTAGCTCAGGGCTGATCTTCCTCACAAAAATTTAAAAAAAAAAAGATCAGCTCATATCTTCAAGGATTTTGCTGTGGAGTTGAGGAGACAATATTTCAAGAGAATTGATGCCATATGGAAAATCCCAAGTTGGCTTTTGTGTGTGTGTGTGTGTGTGTGTGAGGAAGATCAGCCCTGAGCTAACATCCGTGCTAATCCTCCTCTTTTTGCTGAGGAAGACCGGCTCTGAGCTAACATCTATTGCCAATCTTCCTCCTTTTTTTCCCCCAAAGCCCCAGTAGATAGTTGTATGACATAGGACATAGTTTTACATCCTTCTAGTTGCTGTATGTGGGACGCGGCCTCAGCATGGCTGGAGAAGCGGTGTGTCAGTGCGCGTCCGGGATCCGAACCCGGGCCGCCATTAGCTGACACGCACACTTAAACGCTAAGCCACGGGGCCGGCCCACAAGTTGGCTTTTGTACAAGTGCAAAATAAAATATTCAAAACCAATGAGAAGCGTGATGTAGCGATGGGAACACAGGCTCTGGTGTTAAAACAGTCCTGAGCTGGAATTTCTTCTCTCCTACTTAGAAGCCACAAAGACCTGGTCAAGTGTGAACCCTTCTGAGCCTCTGTTTCCCCAGCTGTAAACGAGACTAATAATGCTGAACTTGCTTAGTTGGTATGTGAACTAAATGGCACAAGGGGGAAGTGTGGCATCTTTGGCACCTAGATGTTGAATAAATGAGAGGTTATTGCTTCCTTCCTGTGTGTTGGCACTGGGCATAAAGCCTCGTGTGTAGATAATATTGTTAAAACCATATAAAAATGGGGACACTAAGGCCTGGAGAGGTTAACAGTGAGGTTCCCAAGGCCCCTGGCCAGAAGTAGCAGGACGGGGATTTGGACCAAGAAGTCTGCCTCCACCACCTCGTTCGTGATCATTTGTCTCACAGCCTCTGCTCTGCGAAGCCAGCAACCCACCCACAGGGAAATGATGAATAGCCTGCTTCTGGAATCGACGAGCTTTAGAAGTCGTTGGTGTTGATAGACAGAGTCACGGAGGTCTTCTGGGGTGAAGGAGTGTTATTTAATACACAGAGATGGGCAGGTGGGCTCGTGGGGAGAAGGCACTCAGTTGTGCCAACGAGCAGTTCAGCTTGAACAGCTCCTGAGCATGAAAACTTAGGAGAATACACAATGAGGAGATAAGAATCGTGCGTATCATCAACTCCAAATTTTTTATTTAATAAGTCTTTCATTAATGACCCATTATTTCCTCTAATCACAATTTTTTCAAAGCAAGAAAGAAGTCAATTTTTAATGGAGCCGTATCAAATAGGTGCTTAGTATATCCCAATCCAGTACCTTTTTTACTATTCTTTCCTACCCTATGAACTACATAAGTTTTGAAAAAGAAATCAAATCCATTTTTCTTCTCATTCACTAGTGCACATTTCTAATTTAACTGTCGGTCCCCACCTCTCACCTCTGTCACCCCGGTTAACGCCACTGTGCAGAACTGCAGCCTCATAGGACACTTCCAGCACACAAGGGCACATGGTAGGAAATGTGGCCTCTTCTATGTCAGGTCAGAGTGTCTCATGTTTTCTCGTATTTTCGCTGATAACTTTAAGAGAAATTATAGCAGTAGTGAAGCAAAAGGAAAAAAATAAATGGAGAGTTTTTCGTACACAGAGACTCCTGGACCAAAAACAGATCTTTCGCCGTAAGTTCGGCATTTATTTGAGACTATTAACAGTATATTTCTTTTATGTATGATAGTTCACTGGCACCCAGAAAGTAGCTAAGAGTTTTGGGTTGAGGCGACTTTTATGGAATAAAAACTCCATGAGGCTTTTTCTTCCTTTGGAGCATGAAAGGAGAGCAATTTCCCATTTGACTTTTGTATTGTTGCAAGATCAACCGAGTTTATGCTGAAAATTAAGCTCTGTAAAACCAAGTGTGGTCGGAGTCCAGTCTGATTCTCCCAATCCAGTGAAGTGGGGTGTTTGGCCGCCGGACTCTGCACACCAGCATCGTTATACAGCGAGTTCTGGGAGCTTGTGTGAGTTTCTCCCTGCACGTCCTGCGGGAAAGTGGCCCTGGGGGTCATCTCTGCCGTGTGGCTGGGATCACCTCCAGCCACTGACCCAGCAAGTTTCCTCAAAATCATTCCCCTGAAACAGTTCAGAGTAACAGTCTCTTGGCAGTGTAAATGCTCCTTGGGTCTGGAAATTTCATAGGTCAGAGTTAAAACGAAGAAAGGTCTAAAGCTGTTGCTGGTACAGAATCCGAAGTATAAATTGTCTGGATCGAGGAACCTTTCCTGGCTCTTGGGGGCTGCCCCTCTAAGTGCTATAGTAAAGAATGTTTTCAGAACTGTGTGGTGCTAAAATGAGAATGTTTAATACTGTAAAGACATCGGAATCCAGGTGGGTTGTCTGGTGTAGACCTCTGATTTTCTTTTGTTGCTTCTATACTCCAGAATTTGTGTAGGCACCTTTTCTTTTAAGGAATTATGTTTGGTTTGGATATTTTTTCTATCTTATTTGTTATATTTTTGCAAAAAATATTTTCTTTCTTTACTTAATGTCAATTAAGGCCTGAGGCCCCATGCTTCTGGACCATCAGCATTCAACCTTGGTCATCTTGGTGGCTCATGAACGCTCAGGGTTCCAGTTTCTGCAGAAAGCTCCCAGACACTGGCAGGCCCCAGTCATTGTCACCAGTGCACCCTGGTCGTCATCAAGCCCCTACTTACATGATCTCCTCAAGTCCAGAAGTCCTGCTGCCTCCAGGCCCCAGTGCTTGGGACCCAGGGCTTCCTTCAAGGGGGGTCATCATGCCTAGAGTCCGCCCCCGGACCGTTGCCTGCAGGGTCTTGCCACCTGTGTGTGCTGGAGGGATAGGAATGGAAGGGCACGGGGCAGTGTGGGCCTCAAGTCCTCACTTCTCATGGGACCCGCAGATCTCCGTGTCCAGTCTCCACTCAGAAGCTCTTTTCCTCTCCAGCAGCCTCCAGGACACCTGGGATAGTCCACGCAACATGCCCTTCCCTTTTATAAACAACAGGAACAACCAGGGGCTTCTGGTTGCTTCAGTTTTCAGCTCCACAAAACCCCTGAGGCAAGGAACTGCAAAGCTTGACTACTTGCCCAACGTGAGGGGAAAGGGGGAAAATTGTGTAAACAAACTCAATTGAATATTTTTAAAATGGTCTCACCAAAAGGTATGAAATTTGAGTTTATGGAAATTGTCTGGAAGGACCTTAGGAAACTGACGATGGTGGTGTCTGTGGGGGAGTGACTGAGGGCCTGTGCGGGAGGCGGTTTCCATCCGTGTCTGCCATGCCCTGTGGTCTTGCTCAAGTCCTTTACGTTGGTACATGTTATTTTTATGATAAAAAATTTAAGGGTATTCATTTGAAGAGATATAAATTATTTTTTAAATTCATTAACCAGAAACACTTTCCTCAACCAAAGCTTGCCTACCTTAGATATTGTCCTGATTTTATGGCTCAGAATGCTGAGTTCAGGAGTGAATGTGCCTAGGAGGACACAACGGCAGAGTCGGGATTCGAACCCACAGCTGCCTTACACTGAGGCCCACGAATGCTCTTCCCCTGCTCCGTGCTTTGTCCCCAGGGCCCGTTCATTCCACCAAGTTCTATTCTTTCGTTGCCCAAGTACCAAGGCCTAACACATCCCCTTCTTCGGGCCATCTATTCCTTAAATACCAATAAATACCTAAAACCATGTTTCAAACTATATACACCATATAATGTAAATAAGAATGACACATGGTTCCCCTCAAGTTCATACACAGCAGTGATGTACGGGGTTAACAGGAGAACACGTGGGGGAACTTTGACTTGAAATATTAGGCAAAGCTAGTCCTAAAGGAATGAAATAATAAGCCTAGGAAAAATTAATTGTACCTCTGAATATATCATAACTATCTTTTTTGTTTATCTTTAGGTCAAATGAAATATGACGTTATTAGCAAATAGCAAATTATGAGTTGCTGCCTATGGTTTGGTTGTTTGCTTAAGGAAGCACTGGTGGTTGTTGAAAATCAATGAGTGTTTGTTTTTATAGGATGCTATCGTGATACACGAAGTCTACGAGGAAGGAGCAGCAGCCAGAGACGGACGACTGTGGGCGGGCGACCAGATACTGGAGGTACACGCATGAGGATTCAGTTTCATGCCAGTGAATACGGTTCCTTCACTGACCCCTGTCCACTAGGTCCATTTCTCTCTTCACCGTCTTCTCCTCAGCCACAGCCTCACTTATTTCTCGCCCCCTTAACAAAACACGCACCTTGTTCTTTTTTCTTTTTTAATGTACGTTGAATCCCTGTCATTAGAATCATGACAGATTATCAATCTAAATCTGTCTGTGAAAACTTTTTTTAATTAAAAGGAAAAGTACAACTTATGGTTCTATAATCGCAACATCAAATGAGACTGTATGGTTTTGCAGTTTGATTGTTTTGCCTCTCCATCGTATCTTACTCAGTTCCCTCCTAAAACACAGGCATGTGGACACAGAAATATGCACACCTGGTAGTTTCAAGACTTCTTCGCAGCTCTAGTATTATCTTCTTATTCCTGATGAATCGTTATGTCAGATGGAAGTTCGTGCCTCGGCCCCTTTGTTTTCTAGTTGATGAAAATGTAGAATCTTCTCCCTTTAGGTGGTATATAGTACTTGTTAAAAATGGAAATGCTTAACTTGCCTCTTTCAAATGGGCTCTCATTTAGCAAAGGCATTGAAGCCTTTTAAAAAGTGCCGAGGCAAGCAGTGTCTGAACTGGGGAACAATGGAGGGAAAGGCAGTGCCAGGCGATCTGGTAGGTGGAACTAAAGAGCTTTTTCGATGGTGTGAAGCCTTTAGGCAACATTTATTTCTTTCATTGGATGAATTTAATTGAATAGTTAACATTTTATGGTGGGCATGTGCATTTTTCCTTTGCAGCTTTAATATAGCACATTATGAATGACATCATAGCATTTTATTTTTCCCTTTGGTGATTCAAGTCTGCATCCCAAGATGAAATCAGAGATATAATTAAGTGCAGAAAGTATAGGCAAGAAAGAGTTAAAGGAGAGGCCAGGCTGACTGCAAATTAAATTCGGGGCAAGTTATGGGGTTTTCTGCTGGCCTTGACTGTGCTGCATCATTGGATTAGGACATATTCCCAGTACATTCATTAGGGTACAAGTGTGTGAGGTTAGAAAAGCAAGCGAGGCCCCTCTGGGACCTGGCCTGCCTGCCGTGGCAACAGCGCCATTTTTTATGGTCAGGAGTTTGGAGGTTTTCTCCCTGGATTTTCTAATTAACTGGTGTTACCATAATTGACTTTAAGACGAGTAGATTGAGTATTCGGAAGAGTACAGATGCACACATGCCTTGATATTGACGTGATTTGTAAGACCACAAATTATCCCATAATGATCACTTGAAACTAAATCTGGTATGTGCGTTATCTTGTTTGTGGCGATGTTCACATAGGTTTAAGTTCATATAAATTCACAGTATAAAATGTACTCTTTAAATATGTGTGGTTTATTTCATAGCAGTTATACCTCAATAAAAATTTTTTAAACTGTATTCGTTTGTATTGGATAGATCCTGAGCTGTAGCTGCTCTCTTCCATAAGCATATTCATGTACAAGTGAACACTCAGGACAGGTTAGCATGAAGAGAGCAGGTTTGTTTTAAGTGGAAGGAGAATTTGAAAGGTCAAGTGAACCATTTTCTGGCATCTAGCCGAGTTCTTTTACCCAATGTGGATGGATGGTCCACACTTCTCGTTCGAGATGGCAGGACAGGCTCTTCTCTTGCCCCAGACAGGATCTAGTCCACAAGGGCAGATGGTGTGTTTAGTTAGGAAACAGAGCTCTCAGTTGGGTCAGGTAACGCTTCCTTTCTGAGTGGCATGAGACCCCGCATTTGGACTTGTTCTTGCTGTGGCCGCTGCGTGCAGATGCGCTCTGTTGCGTGATCAGCCCGTGCCTGCAGGTTGCCTGGAGAAGAGCACGGGCCGGCTTTGGTGGTGCATTCTGAGACCAGGGAACGAGGCAGCTGTGCATCAGTGCTTTCCAAACAGCCGCCTTCCTGCTCACGCGAGTCCCTGCATCGTGCAAGCTGGCCTTCCGCGGTCTTCATGGTCCTCATGTTAAAATTGGGACAAGCTAGATTTTGCTTTCAAAGATAGAATCAAATAATGTTTTAGCATGGCAAGATTTATGATTCTATGATTAACATGGACTGCCCTCTTTCTGGTTCTCCTTTTAGGATTAGACCCTCCTCTTACCCTATCCCTACTCCCATTCTCCCCTTCAATTTGTGTGCAAGTAGGAGCAGACGAACAGAGGGCTACTGCCTGGTTTTCCCCGTGGGATAAAACAGTGAGGAGCTGCTGCCCCAGGCAGGTTCCTCTTTCATTCCAAAGGGATAGTCACCTGCTTTCTCACCTGCCCGTCCTACTCCGGGGCGTGATACACCCCCACTGACAACAGGCCTTTTTGGGCCCTTCTTCCCAAACAGGGAGCCCTGTGTTACCACCCCCACTCCTCTGCACTCAGGTTCTAAATAATGCATTAGGTGCCTCTGTAAGGCTCTTAAGGTAATAAATCACTCCACAATATTCTAGCCACATGGCGATACTTCTCTTATGATTGTTGGTGCATTTAGTGGTGTCTCTTGATAAGCAGAGGAGGAAACGAAACTGTGAACTGAGAGCAGATCATTTTTATTCGAGCAGACATCTTGATGCTGGAATTTACTATAAGTTGCTTTTGTAATATTAGAGTTTAATGACAACGCTCTTAGTTAAAAGTATAATTGTTAGGGCCTTTCAAAAGGTATTTTAGAGACTTAGAGAATTCACCTTCCACCCATGGAGGTAACTTTTTTTCAACTGAGTGACAGAAGTGGTCTTGTGTGCCATCTGTTGGAATACAAGCAGATACTCAGCTCAGAACACATTTTCTAGAGACAGTTTTCCCCTTTGTTCTGTGGGTTTACCGCACCAACAATGAGAATGTGTTCCTGGGCCCAAACTAACAGTGGATCTGGCGCTGAGAGAAAACAGCTCTGACTGCGGCTGGTTCAGTTCCCTGTAAAACACCGACTCCTAACTTACCTCGAGCTTAACGTGAGCCGACCCCTGTGCCAAACGCACGTCAGGGTTTATGTCGTTTAATCCTCACAACACCAAGTAGCTATTGTTATTATTATTATTATCTCCAATCTGTAGATGACACAGTTAAGCTTGAGTAACTTAATGTAAGTTTTCACATTCAGTAAGTTGGAATCAGCACTCACGGTGAAGTCTGTCTGTATCTAAAACCCATCCCCCACCCTGTTACCTAAGTGAGTCCACAAACTCACCAAGATACACCAGAAAAGAAAAGCAGCTTGACAATTAGGCTTTTAAACGTTTTCTTGGCCCATAGAATGAGCTTTAAATAATAGCTCAAAAGTCGCCTTCTCCAAGAAGGGCTCATTCCTCTTCTCTCCCTTCTCTGTGACCGTTCTTTATGCCACGAGTCCTTAGTCTTTGGAATGTTAGAACTGGGAAAGCCTCATATCAGCCCCTCCCCATACAGATGAAGGAATGGAGGTCTGGACGTGCCCGGCTTGACCTGCCCAGGACACCAGGGATGGACCAGAATGCAGAGTGGAACCAACGTCTGAGGGAACTCTTCCATTCTGCCATCCACAGGCCATGGCCAGGGCCCTTCCTTCCCTTCGTATGGCTCTTCCCTGGCTGTGACCTTGAAGGAGTGACCCATGACTCCCTTCCTTTGAGTCCCAGGATGCTCTGCCCCTCAATTTCTCCCTGTTTCAGATTCACCAGCCAGCATCAGTACTTGACTTTCTCTGTGGCAGGGGCTGCAGTGACCCATTCTGAGAGTAAGTTGAGGCAGCATGGTATAGAGACTCAGGCTGGAAAGATAGTCTGGGTTCAAGTCATGGCCTCCACCTGCTAGATGTGTAACCTTGGTCACTTAACCTCCCTATGCCTCAGTTTCCTCATTTGTAAAATGGTAATAGTGTCTATTTCAGAGAGTTAGTATGAGGGTCAAGTGAGTAACTATTCACAAAGGGCTAGTACACAAGCATTTGTTAAGTAAAAAGAACTAAGTTGACTGTGCTGTCCCTTGAACAGACAAGGAAGCAGGCTCACGGAGGTTACACAACTTGCCCAGATTCCCCTGACTTGGCAGAAGCAGAGCCGTGGCTTACTCAGTGCTGTTTCCAGGACAGTTTGCCATCTGATGCGTGGTCCTATCTGTGCTCACTCAGATCCAGAATCAAATGAGTGGGCTTCAGCAGCCTTTGACACTGTTGGAAATACTGGTCCCTCATTTCCTTCTGGCTTGTTCTGAAGTAGTTGTCATGTCACCGTTTAGGAGTGAGGATGTCAAATTCAGGAAGCAAACTGAGTCTAAAAATCCTGACCAAACGCTACCTCTTGTTTCCCTTTTGACCTCAATTAAATGAGCCAGTTAGTCCCTGCACACTCTCTCATGTTGATTCCGTCGTGAAGTTCACAGCTACGTGAAATTGCATTGTCACATGTACTAACCCACCTGCTCTGCTCACGGGGAATGTAAGGGTTCCCTCCTTTATGTTTGAAGCAGCTACCACTGCTAGTGGTCACTACCTGTGAGCTTTGGGAATGGCTGGAAGTTTCTAGAGGTTTTTCCCTGGTTGGATCAAGGAGCTCAGCAGACAGAGCAGGCAGAGAGGCCTCTGCTGTTGCAGCCCATCTCAGATGCCCCTTGTTCCAGGTTAACGGGGTGGACCTGAGGAGTGCCAGCCACGAGGAAGCCATCACAGCCCTGAGGCAGACCCCCCAGCAGGTACGGCTGGTGGTGTACAGAGACGAGGCACACTACAGGGATGAGGAGAACTTGGAGATTTTCCCTGTGGATCTGCAGAAGAAGGCCGGCCGAGGACTGGGCCTGAGCATCGTCGGGAAACGGTAAAGAAATGCTGTGCAAGTCAGGGCTGATCGGCCTTTTCCTTCAGAGTCCTAGGGACTAAGACCTCTCAACACTAAAAGATAAAACCTAGTGTAAACTGATGATATGATTTCTGAAATTAACATATTTTTGAATATCTGAACGACATAGATCATATTTCTGAGCAAGATCTTAGCCAAAAACGTGTCATATGAAGATAGACCTCTAAGCCAAATCAACCCAGACTCTTCAGACTTCTTCTCACATAGAGTAAGAACAGTCAACAAGAGTCTTTCAACTTGGAGTCCTCAGATCTGAGGCTTGTAGAAGAACGGCTACCATCGAGAAACGGCTAACATCAAGAGGGACTATACGATGATGCTGGGTTAAGAAAATCACTCCGCCATGGAGTGCCTTGTTAATGTCCTACTGTGTTAACTAAAACTAGCTGAGGAGACACAGTTGAGAGACAGACATAAATTCTTCATGACAGTAGTTTTCTCTTGAGAAAGTTGTCCCCAAAATAATAGCCTGCACCAAAAACGTAGGTAGATCCTGGAGGCTAGGCTGCTCTTTTTTTTTTTTAAGTTTTTTTCTTTTTTAAACAGTTTTCTTTATTTTTTATTTTTTTGTGAGGAAGATCAGCCCTGAGCTAACATCCTTGCTAATCCTCCTCTTTTTGCTGAGGAAGACTGGCTCTGAGCTAACATCTGTTGCCAATCCTCCTTTTTTTTTTTTCTTTTCTCCAAAGCCCCAGTAGATAGTTGTATGTCATAGTTGCACATCCTTCTAGTTGCTGTATGTGGGACGCAGCCTCAGCATGGCCGGAGAAGGGGTGCGTCGGTGCACGCCTGGGATCCGACCCCGGGCCGCCAGTAGCGGAGCTCCGCACACTTAACCGCTAAGCCAGGTGGCCGGCCCTAGGCTGCTCTTTTGAAGTCCGTGCTGCTTACCCATGTGATGGGAATTACAGCAACTGTTCCAAAACAATGTTATACATTAGAGAAGGAAGTAATATCTTGAAACTGCAATTCTAGCTTCTGTGGTTCACTGGCTTTAGATGTCTAGTGTGTATTGCTTCTAACAACACCACAGGATTTTCAGGTGATGCCCCAATGTGGCCTTAAATGGTGTCAACCATCTTCTTAGGAAGAATCGAAGTTGGTTTTATATATATTATGTCATGCATCCTCACAGCCCTCTGATGACTAGCATAGTGCTTCTTTCCAGCAGTCCAAGCTGTTATTAAAATAAAAATATTAGCTACCATTTTTGAGACTGATTTTGTGCCAAGTACTGTGCTGTCATGATCTCATTTTTTACTTCAGCACCATAAAAACCATCAATCTGAAAATGCATTACGAAACAGAAAAGCTGGACTCGAATTTCTAAACAAACCTAACACACATCTTGGTGCAGAGCCGCTGGCAGAAACCATGTTGAAGCTTGCCTGCTTGTTGAGACATGTACATGTGCCTGGAGAGATTCCACTCAGGGTAGTGAGTGTTACTTTATTGTCTCGTCGTGGATTGATGAAATAATCCTCACATGACACCAGTATTTCAGATTGAGTTTGTAAGGAACATTTATATTCCTTAGCACAAAAAGTTCCATTGTAAAGGATCAGAGATGTCAGCTCTCAAAATTCACAACTCTTTGGCTAGCAATTCCATGACTAGGAATTTATCCTAATGATGTGCTCGTAGATATGTTATTCATTGCACATTGTCTGCAGTAGCTAAAGAATGGAAATAACCTATATGGCCATCAATAGTTTACTGATAAGTGAAAGTAAGGAACATCCATAGAATAGTATGCAGCCATAAGGAACAATAAGGAAGCTCTAGGGGCTAATAAAGACCAGTTCTCAAGGAGTATTAAGTGGAAAAAAGCAAAGTTAAAACAAAACTAGAGAAAAAGAAAAGGAGTGTGTGTGCATACACACACAGGCATTTGCTTATGTCCACACAGAATATCTCCTGGAGACACTGAGACACCCGAGAAACGGGTAACCTTGGCTGCCTCTGAGAGGGACTTGGGCATGGGGAAGAGAGGTGAGAGGGAGACTTTTCAAGGTCCCCTCTTTTTAACCTCCTGAACTTTGAGACATACATTTATTTATTCATCAAATGAATAAATATAATTGAAACCTTAAAGTAATAAAGTCAGGAAAAAGAGTGAAAGAAGGAGACTAGAAATAGATCAGATGTAATAATTGAACTGACTTCTAAGGAAATAACCTGTACATTTTAAGAGTACTTAACTCTATGGGCCGGCCCTGTGGCTTAGCGGTTGAGTGCGTGCACTCCGCTGCTAGCGGCCTGGGTTCGGATCCCGGGCGTGCACCGACGCACCGCTTCTCCGGCCATGCTGATGCCACATCCCACATACAGCAACTAGAAGGATGTGCAACTATGACGTACAACTATCTACTGGGGGGCTTTGGGGGAAAAAAAGGAGGAGGATTGGCAATGGATGTTAGCTCAGAGCTGATCTTCCTCACAAAAAAATAAATAAAAATAAAAATAATTTTTTTTAAAGTGTACTTCTCTCTACTTTTTAAAGTGAATTTCCATTTCATTTCACTAAAATTATCCTCTTGCAGAAATTATGCCCTTGGGCCAATGAAAATGAATATCACAATAGGCAGCATAAATAGGCATAAATTATTTAAAAGGCACGCACTCTGAGGTTTATCATGTGGGAAGTTAGTGGATTATTACTGGATTAGATGGGGCTATAGGACCCTTCTTCCAAGTTTTAGAATTTAGTGAATCTATATAGAATGTGAGTAATCTCAGATTTAATAAAGAATTGTTAGGTTGTGCCATTACCCACTGCTTTGTGGTATTCACAGAAGTGGCAACGGAGTGTTTATTTCTGACATCGTGAAAGGTGGAGCTGCAGCCCTGGACGGGAGGTTGATTCAGGGAGACCAGATCCTATCTGTGAATGGGGAGGACATGAGAAGTGCCTCACAGGAGACAGTGGCCACTGTCCTCAAGGTGAGTCCCCAGGCTGCGTCTGCCCGGCTGGGATAACTGAAGGCCAGTGGGAACGGTTCTAATCTAGCTCGATTATAAAATGGGTTGGATTTTATGTTGACTGTGGTTTTTACTAAAGATCTAATCTCTGCTTGTTTTAACCAATCGGGAATAGCTTTAAAAGAAAGCTGCTGGGCCCGGCCCCATGGCGTAGTGGTTAGGTTCACACGCTCCACTTCAGCTTCCCAGGTTTGGATCCCAGGCGAGGACCAAAACCTCTTGTCAGCCATGCTGAGGCGGCAACCCACATGCAAAATAGAGGAAGACTGGCCACAGATGTTAGCTCAGGGTGAATCTTTCTCACCAAAATAATAGTAATAATGATAATAAAAGAAAGCTGTTATTTCACTAACAGCATTGAAGGGAACCCTGTTTGGGGATTTCTAAGCTTGTTTTTCATACTTGTGAGAATCCACAGTTGTCCTCTAAAGGCATTTGATGGGCTAGGTTCTCCTGGAGTCGCAACATGCATCCTCCTCCCTCCAGGGCTGTGTTATTGTGAATTCATGAAATCCAGGTTTTATTGCTTGAAGGAACATTAAAGATTATCTAGACCAGTTCCTCCATTTCACAGACGAAGCTTGAAAGAGTCGCATGGCGTGCCCAAGATCACAGAGCTCTGCTGGAGTGGCTTTCCTGCCACCCGCGCTGCCTCTCACTGACGCTGTAGAGATGCTGAGGTTCAGAATTCCCTTCCGAGTGTCTCTGCCACATGGACCCTACCTCCCTTGGGAGAAAGTGGTTAATAAAAGTTCTTGTAAATTTCCATTCAACTATAACCAGGTGCATCTTATTCTTTTCACAAATAGCTGTGGAAGCTTTTGCAAAGACAAATGAATTTTGTTCATTTTAGAATCCTTATACCATCGGTTACTACTGGAGAGGGTTTGTATTTGTGGATTACCTCTATGTTTGATTTTTCTGTCTTCCTTTTCGCCACTTCTTAATTATTTCACTGCTCGTTAATACTTTCATCAGAAGAGAAGAGGAAGAGAAAAGAGGTGAATTGAAATGTCATCCTTTTTACTTGTTTAAAGAGGTCATGAAGTGTGAGATGAATACTGTTGAATTGATAAGTTTTTGTTATTTTGTGTGGTGTTTTGATTACTGAATCTCCTTTTTGCCTGGTGCCTTCATCACCCATTTACAATTCTTGGCTGCTCAGATGAGTGGAGGCCCTGCCATAACAATTTAGAACATCATAAGTGCTACTGTTTTTCACCTCTCTTCTTTTCTTGTCTTCCCAAGTGTGCACAGGGGCTTGTGCAGCTAGAGATTGGAAGACTCCGAGCTGGCTCCTGGACCTCCTCGAGGAAGACATCACAGATCAGTCAGGTTGTCGTTGGCTTCCCATCAGGCTGACTCACTCACTGTCCTCACTGGGAGAAAGCTCCCCCTTTCGTAAATGATTGCTTGGAAATAATGTGTAATATACAGCATATTCACAACACCAATTTCAGTGTATTTTAATGTGCTTGAAATAAAAATGAAAGGTGGGATGGAAATTCATTAATCCCTAGATTTTTCTTTCCTTTATTGCCTGCAAATGTTTTCTTAGAACGACTTTTCTCTCCCACTATTAGTTCTGTATTGCCTGTGCATACATGTACACAGCTGTGTTTATTTAAAAAAAAATAGAAAGAAGCAACATCTGGTGGCAATTTGACCCTCATTAGCACAACATTGTTCTATTCATTTAATTAAATATTACTATAAAGTTAACTTGTGAATAGCCGCTCACACATGCTGAGGGCAATTAATGGTATATTCCTAGGAGAGCGAAGTGTGGGGGTTTCTCCTGTGGGAGGGAGGCCTTAATGGGTGATATTTTGTGGGTTAGCAAACATCTTATGTTTATTTGCAAGGCTGATGTAAGTGCTACTTCCTTTTTTTAACAAAGTATATTTCCCTGTATTTTTTTTTTCATTGGAGTGGCTGACAAAATCAAGATGGTGGACTATATGTTTAGTCCCATGTGGTACATATTGAAACTATGGAAACTTACATGTGACCCCATAATCCCCTTTGTGGGTTATAGATGGGCCTTTGTTTTGAGGTTAAAAGCATGACTTTTGGTCCTGTCTCTGGTTGCCTTAGGCTTAAAGCCTCTCCAAGGCCTTTGTTCAGAAGATGTTCTGGTGTTGTGATTAGCACATGGGTGCTTCTGGAATGCTGTTAGCTGCTCCTTTGCCTCATGGGTGTTAGAAAATGGGTGAAGAAAAATGCAATTGTTCAGATAGGATCGCAGCTGGCCTGTCTTAGAGAATCTTCAAAGCAGTCAAACCCAGTAAACATCATGTCACGTTTGCACTTTTTTTTTTTTTTTTTTTTTCATTTCTGGTGTCTGTAATGGGCGGCAAGTGTCGCCTGTACTAAGATGCAGTGCTCAGTGAGATTCAGGAGTAAATGATGACGGTTCTGACCAGACTTGTATCAACAGTGGGAACTTGAGATGTAAAATAGGTGTCTCAGCTTCTTCCTTAATGGAAGGTTCACTTGTTGAATGATTTCGTTAAAGCCTCATTGTACACAGGAGGGTAGAATGCAGAATGAACAATCCTGGAGATGAAATTTTTCTTCCTGGAGAGTACGGGAAGGCTACACAGAGGAGGTTCCACTGGATCTCACTCCAAAAGGAGTTTGATGGGTTGGGAAGAGGGAGAAAGCCTCCCAGACAGAGGGAGTGGTGTATGCAAAGGCACAAAGAGGTACGGGGAGCTCCAGTGTTTTCGGAAGAGTGTGGACTGACAGGTGAGTGGTGGGCGAAACTGGATGTCCATCATTGAGGAATGTACCTGAGCGTCTCAGTGATTAATAGAGTTCACACTCAGCTTAAATACAGAGCTAACAAACTTACAAGCCCTATCATTAAATGTCAAAAAAACCCACCATTACCATTTATCTTGTATGTAAATATGAGTTGTCATATTTTGGAAACCTGGGACAAAGTATCAAATACTTTCATCTAACCTTCTTGCACAGAATTTTTATTTCAGAGGGTAGAAGTTTAATTCAATTTTAAGAAAAGCAATAAATATATTTTATCCTTACTTTGTCCCTAAAATTATGGCTGAGATGATGTGAGAGTCTGCACTGATATTGGCTGATTGGAAGCAAGCTTCTAGTTGGCTCTGAAAAAGATATGTCCTCCGTCATCGTGAGTTGAGACCAGCCCATGACCCAGATGGAGAGAAGGAGGCTTCCGTCTCCCAACTTGTCCACTCCAGACCTGTTTAAAGCAGTCAGGAGCCTGTAGGAGCACAGATTTCTTTCTGAGCAGTTATAAGATAGGGAGATGGATGCCTGCTTTTGAGGGCCAAGAGAACTGTAACTTGTTGACTTGGCCTAGAGCAAGTGGGTTCATTAAGAGAGATCTTCTAGCCTTGGGGCCACCAAGCCTCTTCTTGTAAAATGTCTTTTCCTACCAACCAGGAAAGAGCTCTCTACTCTGCAGAGGAAAGTGTTTAATGGAAATAACTCCTAAGAATTCTTTTCCTCAGACAACTGAGGGAATGCTGCCAGGCAAAGTCCATATTTATAAAGGCCCTGGCAAACATACCAATCTGAGATTTTTTTTTTAGGCAAAATTTATAATATGCTGTACTTCTCAATGACTTAAATCATGTCCTTTCAGGGAAAATATAAAAACACTCCTTTAAATATATGTATCCATTGTAAAGGGTATTGATGTCTGTAACTTACTTTGAAATCAATTTTTTTAAAAAGACAAATTGAGCAATAGAGAAGTAGATATGTAATAAAGAAAATATAGCAAAATATCAATTGTGGAGTATAGGTGGTGTACATATGGATATTTTCTGTATAATTTAACTTTTCTGTATATTTGAAAATTTTCATATTTAAGGAATGTTAAAATATCGAACAACTTACATCGTAGATTAAGGAAATGGATCAAATGATAATTTATCAGGTGATAATGTGATCTTAGGTTTAGCTTAAAATTTTGAGGCAATGAGGCGTAACCTTGATAGTTTGGTGGAAAAAAATCTTTATTCGTTATTGGTGACATTGTTTTCTACATTGGAAAGGTCCTTCTGTATGTATATGATTTGCATTGAATGGCCACTAGCCATCCATGACTGTACATTGTAGACCTCAAATATTTATTTAAATGAATGAAAGGACAGTAATGGAAGCATAGCAGATTGGGCTGAATTATTACTGAAAAATCTACTGAAAAATTACTAGGAAAATCTTTGAGAAAAAAATGTAACATATTCCTAAAACAACATATTCTTTTGATATTTTCTGTTTTCTGCTATAATTGAGGGTTCCGTTTGGTCAAGTTTCTGTTAATCAAGACTTTATTATACTTGTTTTAGCAAAATAGGTCATATAGTTTGGGTAATAAAGGAATAACTGTTGACTGTGGCCCCAAATGACACGTAGTGCCGCTAGCGGATCCTATATAAACACTAGGTGACAGCCCAGGACAATGTCTTTGAGTTCACGTGGACTAAGGAAAGCTTAAATGATTGCGTGTTTTCCACCTTGACGACTGAAACCATGTATGAAAGCACGTAAATGGAGGAAATGTGAGGGGGATAGTGTTAGGGTGGTGAGAGAGTGGGTACGGTGAGCCTTGTGTTTTAGTCTTCAGAATCTTCTGTTATGTGGTCATGGTCACTTCAGTAGTTGCAATACTGATCATCAGTCTGAACCTCTAAGACGCGCCGGTGTCCCGGCCACTGACCAGGAGTTTCCTTTCAGGGGGCTCAGCACGGCACGCACAGCAGCTGTCACCCGTCCCTGGCTCCTGTCCTCACCAGCCTGCAAGGCCTGGTTGGCACGAAAAGAGCCTCCGATCCTCCCCCCCAGGACTCAGGTAGGACCTGGGCACACCTCCAGGAAAACCATCCCGTTACCTAATTTTTTTTAGTATTAATATTTTTAAAAAACAATCCTTTTGCCTTCAATTAAAATATTTTTTGTTCTTTGAACTTGGCTACATAAGCCCAAGCTTCGTGAAAGCCCTGTTCTGAAGGAAGGAAAGCCACAGAGCTTCATCTTTGAAATGCGCCTTTAACTTGACACAAATCACGTGAAAAACAGAAAAGCAGAAGTCTAAAGTGCTTCCAAAAGTAAAACCATTTACAAAGAGAAAATTAAAACATTGCGGGCCACTCGAGGAAGGTCAGAAGTGCATATGCACTTCTGGGTGGGGGGGCATGGGGGCTTTTCAGGTCTTTCCTTGGGTAGCGGGTTCTTTGATCGAGGCAGAAAGATGTACACTGAAACGCAAATGGCTCCCCGTCCACGCCATCCGATCGATCGCATAGTCCAGCAGCTCCCGCTGCCATCCAGCAGCTTCTGTCAGACTCAGTGGTTGGGGCCGCGTCTGTCTCAGACAGAGAGGATTTCTTTGGAACAGGGGACACAGCCCTGATCAGTGGCTGCAGGTCTGGATGTTGAGAAAGGTGATGGCTTCACTGTTCTCTCTTGAAGTCCCAGGAAATGATACCATTCTCATGAGACAATATTATAGCCTACATATATTATCTCTTAATTTTGAAAAGTTAATTGTGTTGCTTCTTTATTTATAGGCGCAGATACGGGACCCAGGACTGTTGAGATAATCAGGGTAAGTCAGTTATTTTGTTATTTTTCTGGTTTGTGTTGGATTTGCATAAAATGTATGTTTTCCCCTTAATACAATTTGTTGGATTGTTAGTGTGCTCTTTTAAGTTACTGAGGTAAGTATATGGTCTATGGGACATAGATTTAGAGAAAGAGAGTCAAGCGCGTAGATGAGCACTGTGGATTTTTGGTACCTCCCATATACTGCATCTTGTGCATTGGTGTCATATCAGACACTTTCGTACCTCATCTTTTTCACTTTAAAGCATGAACTTTTTGGGCCGGCCCCGTGGCTTAGTGGTTACGTGTGCGCGCCCCGCTGCTGGCGGCCCGGGTTCGGATCCCGGGCGCACACCGACGCACCGCTTCTCCGGCCATGCTGAGGCCGTGTCCCACATACAGCAACTAGAAGGATGTGCAACTATGACATACAACTATCTACTGGGGCTTTGGGGGAAAAATAAATAAAATTTAAAAAAAAGAAAAAAGCATGAACTTTTTGCCATGTCAATGAGTATTTTTTTGACGGCATTTGGCATGATTCTGGTTGGTTGCATAGTATTCGTTCCTGTGAATGTGCTGCAACTTTGTTAACCAGCTTCCTCTTACCAAAGGATTAGCCTCTTTCTCAACTTCTGCTATATTTTCTAGTAAAATATCTTTGTATTTTCTTTTCTGCCCATATCATGGGTGATTTCCTTAGGATTAATTCCTGGAAATGAAGTTGTTGAATCAAAAGCCACACTTGTTGTTTAAGGCCTCTTATATGTGCTGTGAAATTGCCCTCCTGAGGAGATTGTGTAAGATGCAGTTCAGTTCATAAGTTTGTCAACCCCTGATTTTCAGACTCCTGTCTGATATCCAAAATATTGGAAAGTAGACTTCTCTTGTGATCACTTGGACCGTTAAATTTGGGATTCAAGAAGTAGTGAAAAAAAGATCTGAGCTTGTTGTCTCATAGTTCGACTGCAGTAGAGGGATGTCCAGCATTGCTCAGTGCTCTGGAGTCGGTCATGTCTAAAGGTGCTCCACCATTTATAGCCCTATGACCTTTGACAAGTGACTCAACCTCAACTTTCTCATCTGTAGAATGGGCGTGACAACACTGTTTACCTCACAAGGCAAATCCTGTGGATTAAATGAGGTAATGCATGTAGTGTACCAAGTGCGTCATGAATGCCCGGGGGTGGCATCATTATTACTGGCTGCAGCTCTGACTACATCTGCCTTATCTGTTCCCCATATCTTCCCACCAGAGTGGCAACTCTGATGCCCCTGTGATGGGGAAGTGAAATGTACCACCATGTGCATAGTTATGGATAAATGAAGGAAACAACATGATGGATTTTGACAAAGCCAAATTATTCCATAAATTTCTCCTCATTCCAAGATTTATAAAATAATATCATTTTGTGTTTCCGTAGTCATTTCAGCCACTTGTTTTTACAGGCTTTTGTAAAAAGGCCTGCTGCTACCCACCCTATTCTTCCACACGTGGTCCCAGCAGGAACTTTGTAATGAAACACGTCTTGCCATTTTGCACACAGGGCTTTACTGTTGATGCATTCAGAGAATATACGCTGGACACAAATACTTGGGAGAACACGATGCAAGCTCCCTGAGCCTGGAGAGGTCAGCCTTGCACCATTCTGTCTTATAGGCATGACATGGCAGCACTGTAATCATATTAATAATAGGGAATAATTTGTCACACTTATGTGACACAAGGTTTTAAAGTTCTTTCACAGGGGGTTTTTGTTGTCATTTTGCTCTTTTTCCTTTTTCCAACTTTATTGAGGTAAAACTGAAGCACGCTAAGCTGTGTGTGTTTTTAAATGATCGATTTCAACTGTAGAAGCCCCGCAACCATACAGGTCCCTTCCCCACAGCCACGCCACTGGCGTTCCCGCCACAGCTGTGGCATTTACGTCTGCATAAATTGAGAAGCCACCAAACAGTGGTACAATGTGTGCTTTCGACTGTCCTACGTATTTAAAAGAACTTAGGAAGAAAATCAGTCACATTTCCCTGGTTCTTCACATGTCGAGTGATTTAGGATTTTATCCTGGACCTAGTGAGTGTTGTGCTGTGTAGACCCTGGAGAATGTTGGTGTTCTAGCAGGCTGTCAACCCAGTCAGGTCCAGACCCCACAGTCCGTCTCACCTTTGTGAGCAGTGGTTCAGATCCCAGTTTGGTTCTCTGGTTTGGGTCTGTCCTGCACGGGTGCAGCTTAGAACTGAGCCTGCGAATTCTGTGGGCTCACTTGCGAGTTAGAGGAGCCCTTCTCCGGCTCTCTCTGCTCTGGTTTTCTTCCTTCATCCTCAGCCACCAGGGGCTCCTCCTCCTGGTCCCTGGCCTGAAGGATGGGAGTTTCTACCCAAGTTGGAGCAGCATGTGCCACCCTCACAGCTCCTCGACCGGGTCTCGCCCTCAGGACAAAGCTGGGACGTTCACCCCTGCTGTCGTTTCTCCAAGTTCTGGCTTTTCTTCACAACTTGAGTTTCTTGACTTTTCAGAAGCCTCGGGTGGTGGTTTTTGCATCTTGACGGGAGTTCTCCGTGTGGATCAGCAGGAGGGCGGCGCTGTAGCATGCGTGTGCTGCCACGCTGGAGTGGAACTTGTCATTTGCTCTTGTGATTTTCAGAATATTAACCTGGGGCCATAAATGTGGGGAAAGCTGGACTAGAGCCAGAGTCCCCCCACCAGGGGCTGAGTGAACCACGTTCCTCACCTAATAATCGGTCACATTTCCTTCTCTCTCCAGACTCTGTTGTCGCTCAGGGTGTCCTCCGAGATCCTCTGTGTTCACGCAGGCGTGCGGCTCTCTCAGAGCCAAGTGTGTGTGTTCACACCCACAGGAGCGTGCTGTGTGTGGTAGTTTAATCGTAAACACCATGTGAGAACAGACCTACCAAGTCTGCCTCATAATCGGCCACCAATCAGAGCGGGAACGTAGGGTTTGGGGGTCTTCACTCCTGCTGTTGCCTTTTATTGGGCTTTTCTGTCGGCCGGGACTGCCCTATATCACCTCATTTAATCCCCAGACCAGCACTGAGCTCGTGGTGTTCTTCCCGCTTTATGTGTAGAGATGGAACTTCCCCGAGACCCCCGGCTGGTCAAGGGTCTCGGACTGTGGAGGTGCTGCACTCGGCCCCCCGTCACCACAGCCTCCTGCGTCACGAGCGGGTTCTGTTCCATGGCTGTCTGGGGACAACTGGTTGTGGCTCTTTGTTAGATGTGTAAGCATTGTGTTCCCTTCTTTTACAGGAGCTCAGTGATGCCCTGGGAATCAGCATTGCTGGAGGAAAAGGCAGTCCCTTGGGAGACATCCCAATATTCATTGCCATGATTCAGGCCAGCGGTGTGGCTGCGCGTACACAGAAGCTGAAGGTGAGCAGGAGGGGACGGCGAGGCGCTGACAGCACGTGGCGGGGTGGGAGAGAGGTGCCGCCGTGGGCACCTTGTTTAAGGTTGGAATTCCAGTGGCCATCAGAGGCCCCGCAGAGGGCAAACTTCACTGGAGAAACCTTACACCTGAAATGCATTACGTCCCTGGGCATGTAAAATTATTGTTTGTATCCGAGCTTCTCGATGGAAGCAGAAGTTGCTGCTCAATTGCAAAGCCTCCCATAGCGTTTTTAGCCCCTCATTCATTCTACCCGAAATTGATTTTCACCTCAGAGATTTGACCTTAGACTCTTCCTTCAACCAAAAGAATCAACGATCTTAAGATTTTTTCCCCATTGCCCCTTAATCTTAACTCAGCTAGAGAATTAAAGCAGAAAATATTGGCTTGCTCATCAGAGCTTTATTGAACAGTTAATTTGTAAACCCCAATATGACTGGTGCTGGAGGTATGAAACACCACCATTACCAAAATACAACAGTGGCCTGCTGTGCCTTTTAATAATCAAATCCGACCCCCTTCTTGTTTCTCTGATTGGTCTCTATTTGGGGAAAGCCATAAAAATTCCTCATGCTTCTGGAACATGCATGCACAGTAGAGACGCAGAACCGTCACAATGGCCACAAATGGTAAATGTGACTTACAAAGAATTTTAAGCATTCTTCTCAAATTTAATTTTTCTTAATAATAGCGATTTTCCACCACTTTTGTACTTCCAGGTTGGAGATCGGATTGTCAGCATTAATGGGCAGCCTTTGGATGGGCTGTCGCACGCGGATGTGGTTGGTCTGCTGAAGAACGCCTACGGGCACGTTATCCTGCAGGTACCGTGGTCAATGGGACGCACAGCTGCGTGAGGCAGATAAGGGTTGTGCAAAGCAGATTGAGCGTCGCTGGCAGTAGCCATCACCGCCCTTCAGGGCGCTCGCTGATGTGAATTATGAAGGTTGAAAGCAAGAAATTATTATTTTTATTCAGAAATTCTTTAATGCCACCCATACAGGCAGTGAGCATGATTATATGAAAGCATAACAAGGGGAGAAAAATTATTCTTTGCTTCACATGATAAATCAACAAGGCTTTTAGCTTCCAGCCTTCTTTTGTAAATCAAAATTTCCAAGGAATAGGAAATGATTTCTTTTCTTATGCCCAAAACTGCTACTGAACTGCCCAAGTGCTGTTTCTTCCACCCCCTTTAAAGGAAGGGAAAAATACAACGCTCTTTTTCCTGTGCATAAATGATTGCCAACACTGGTAAATTCTCGCTGCGGAGCGGTCGTCAACTAAGGCAGACACTTATTTATCGGCTGTGGTCCCCAGGAGTATTGTCCAGAGGCACGGGGAGGTGTAGCAGGAGTAAGACGAGGTGTGCCGTAATTAGTCTCCTTACATCTCAGCACTTCAGGTGTCCCTGAGGTTGAGACCGTGCAGCGAGGGAGGGGCAGCCTGCTGGCAGTGCGTTTCCTTACTGTTTCCCCAAAAATGTCTGATTATAACCACCCTACTTCTGCAGAGGTAGTAAAATGGCTTGTAGGTAAAAAAATAAAACCCACCAGTTAGTACCTTGTTAGAGAGAGGGCTAGCCAGCCCCTCAGATCGTTCCAGCCTTAAAATACTAAGTTCGAATCGAAAACCCGTTACATTTGGAAGAAGCAGTTTGCGGTGCCTGAGGCTGACGTCTCAAGGGATAGGTACAAAGTGCCCGATAGGCATTGAAAACGTGAGTGGCTTTCAGCGTGAATGGAGGGGTCGTGAAAATTCTGTCAGTAGATTCAAGACAGTTTGTGTGAAAGGCGACGCATTGTTCAGTGATTTGGGTCCCCGAGTTTCTGTTGAACACAAACCGAAACCCCGTGTGGACTGGCTGCGGGTGGGCTCCCCGGCCTCCCCCTCCTCTCGAGTGCACACGTCCGTGGCCCCCTCATCCCTCCTCCACCCTCCTCCAGCGTCTCCGGAGCCCGCCCCTCCTTTCTCTCGCGTGCTGCGCGTGCTCTTGCTCGAGTTACGCTGACCCCTAGAGGCCCTGCAAATGCAGCCCCTCCGTCTCAGAGCCGCCGACCATCAGTTGTACAAAATTTTAAGAGGAAGTTATTTCAGATGATAACTATGTCAAGAAAAAAAGTGTTACCCTGAGCAAAATCTGGCATTATTGCTGTTCTCATACGTGGGTATAATTTGTTCAGCTCCGCCTTCTTCACAAAAAATGAGAAGACACGATGTAAAAGTGTAACATGAACTAGACATGAAAAGTACCTTGGGGCCTGCCCGGTGGCGTGCGGGTGAAATGCGTGTGCTCTGCTTCGGCAGCCTGGGGTTTGCGGGTTTGGATCCCAGGCACGGACCTACACACCACTCATCAAGCCATGCTGTGGCAGCATCCCACATACAAATAGAGGAAGATTGGCACAGATGTTAGCCCAGAGACCAACTTCCGCACCAAAAAAAAAAAAAATACCTTAGACGAAAATGAACTCATGCTCTCCCATGCTGAATTAACACTTCATTCAGCCAAATTGCCACTATTAACATACTTTTGAAGGAGTTTCTTGTTTTTCCTATTTCTGTATTTTAAGAAAAAAATGATATTTCCTTTCAAAATGTTCTTTTGCATTAATCATGTTAGTTGGTGGTGTTATTTTCTAACACACGCTTTTATTTTTATTTATTTATTTATTTATTTATTTATTTTACAGCATGACAAGCACTTTATTTCTTTTTTTTAATTTTTATTTATTTATTTTTTTCCCCCAAAGCCCTAGTAGATAGTTGTATGTCATAGCTGCACAGCCTTCTAGTTGCTGTATGTGGGACGCAGCCTCAGCATGGCCGGACAAGCAGTGCTTCAGTGCGCACCCGGGATCTGAACCCGGGCCGCCAGCAGCGGAGCGCATGCACTTAACCGCTAAGCCACGGGGCCGGCCCTAACACACGCTTTTAAAAGCTTAATGGAATCCTCTGGGATTTTGACAGTTGTAACCTACACAGTTGTGGGTATGGAACATGTGCGCTGCCAAAGGCTTTAGACACAAATCCCAGGAAACTCTTATATCCTGCATCAAAAGCCTTTCGGTTGCGTAGAGTATTTGCTTTAATTGCAACAATGTGCCTGGGGTAGTACCAGCTATCCAGTGATCACAGCCGACTTGTCATTAGGTAATTATTTTTATTATCAGGTGAGCCAGCCCATTGGCAGAGTAGTAGGGAAGGTCAGATAATTGTGTCTGATGATGCGGAAAAGACTTATTGTCGGTGTATCATGTGAGGCAGTCAGCAACTGCAGATTGCACAGGGAAAATTAAGGTCTGGGTCAGCAGACTGCAGGGTGGAGAAGGAGAAGAGAGTGGAAGAGACAAACAAAACTTCTGGAAGCTTCTCTCCACAGTTTAAATTGCTATCGCTAGGTGTAATAAGGTTAAATTTCTTATTCCCAGTTACAGATTGGTCAGTGGAGATTGATTTGGCTATTGGGGTCATTTAAATGTTCCCAATTATATATGCCTCTGTAGTTTGATAGTTTGCCTGGTTCAGCTCTTTTGTCTATGGAATTATCGTAAAACCTTTTTTGGACAAAATCAGGCAACCCAGACTCTCTGCTAGAAAATTTTGTTGTTGTTTTTACATCTTTCTTTGAGAACATCAAGGCAAAAAGAGTGTATCAGGGCTTTTTTATTTTTTATCACCACAGGAACTTGTGGGTCTTGTTCTGGGTCCATTAAGAGATTTTCCAAACATTCTAGAGCATAGGAGAACAGAGGATTGAGGTAACATTAACTCAACTAGGGAATATCGGGGAGTGTGTTGGGAGAGAAGAGAACGGTGTCATCCGAGACGCCCAGGTGGAGAAGTCCAGCAGGCAGAGGAGGTGTGCCGCCCGTGCTCAGGGAGCCTTCGTGTGGAAACAGGAGGTAAAGAGAGCCATCGAAGGCTTTCCGGTGTTGACGTCCCGTTGCTGGCACGTCACGCTTCATGATATTGGTTGAATAACAAATGAAAACAGTGGAGACACAGACAGGGGACAAAGACCTGGGGTCAGCTGCAAGTGTGTAGGGCAGAAAAGAGAGTCTGCAGTCAGGGAGAGAATGAAGGCTCTGTAGGTTGGGAGGCCTTGTGAGGGCATCCTCCAGGGCACAAAAAACTGATAGAAGAGGGCCCAGATGCTGCATAGAAGAGAGAGGCGTGTCATACTTCTTAAGATAATATAGAGAAAAAGAAGTAAGACATGGGATTACTTCAGGAGATCCAATATCCAGCAAATAGGAGTTGCAAAAACAAAAACAGAAAAATAACAAAGGAATGAAATAAATTTAGTTTAAAGGTCCATTAATCAGTGATCAGGATAAATAAAACATGAATAATACCTACATACAGTCTAAAACTTTCAAAGAGAAAAGTATAAACGACTTTACAAAAGAACAAGAGATTCAAATGGCACCTGACTTTTTTTCAGCAATGTATTTCTGAGAAAATTACTTTAGGATGTACTCCAACAAAGAGCAAAGTAAGAAAGAGGGAAGCCAGCGGATCCCATGCTGAAGAACGTGGGAGCCCAGGACAGCTGTGGAGCAGACACAGAGAACTGTTGTCCAAACTGGGGCAGGAGGAGAAGAGGGCTCCAGGGAGATGCTTCTGAATTCAAGAGGAAAAAGAGGAACAGAAAGATGATCTCGTATGTTTAACTGAACTGGAAGTTTGAGATCAATTTGGAAAGTTTGGGGCTGAATTAGTGCTAAGTATATAAAAATTAAATAAAATGAGATCATTATTAACCTTGGGGAATATAACTTATACAAAAAAAAGGAAATGCAATTATGGTAAAGTATTTGGCTCAATATGAATAACATTTATATAAACATTATAAGTCATAATAATAAAACCAATACAACCAAACATCAGGATGCATGAAATATTAGTAGCATGGGGGTTTGGGGTGTGTTAGTGGAGAGGAAAATGTAAGAGAATTAAATCTTTAAAGTTGAAATAAGAAAAGAGGTTGTTGGAAATTGTGAGAACTACAGCGGTTTAAATGTATGTAAAGAAACATAGGAAACAGGTAGAATTTAACAATAATATAACAGTTAAGTGGAAGAGTTTGACAAGCTCAACTTCATCTGTTGGAATAATAGCGAGTCGATAGACATCGTGAAGATGGTAAATTTCAAAATAGGCCTATAAGGGGGCGGGCCCGGTGGTGTAGCGGTTGAGTGCGCGCGCTCCGCTTTGGCGGTGGCCCGGAGTTCGCCGGTGCAGACCTACGCATCGCTCCTCAAGCCACGCTGAGGCGGCGTCCCACATAGAAGAGCGACAACTCTACAGCTGTGATACACAACTGTGTGCTGGGGGCCTTGGGGGGAAAAAAGAAAAAGAGGAAGATTGGCAACAGATGTTAGCACAGGGCCAATCTTCCTCAAAAAAAAAAAATAGGCTTATAAGCATATTGCTCAGCTTATACCTCTAGAATTGAAAAGGGAAAAGTTTAGTGTGTCTCTAGGGAATAAGAGTGTTGAATTTTTTATCATGTACTGTACTATTTAATTTTTTATCATGTGCACACAAAAAGAAATAGCCTAGAAAAATAAAATAAAATAGAAAAGAACCAGGAGTCAAGAATATAGGCCCTAGACACTAAAGGAGAAAAGAATTTCAAGAATAGCACATTTATCAATGAGCTGTGGACAAGTCACTAAACTGGCAGATAAATCGCTGGCAATCTTGAACTGATTTCTTTCTTTCAGCGTTGGTGGCAAGGCAGTAGAGAGCAAGGGAGTAGTTGGGAGCAAAGGGGACAGAAGAAAAGGTAGGGATGGTGTTACCTCTGAAAAAGAAG